CCATCCGCCTCTATGTTTGCCCCCACTTACCACCAGAGAAAAATAATTTCTCTGCCTTAAATTTCCCATAAGTGCTTCTCATTGGCAGAATACACCCCAGAACCATACAGGAAGAGAGGTCCTCAGAAATGTAATTCCAGACTTGCCTCCCGCAGCGCAGAGATTTTAGGCGAGGGCGATGATTATGCTGGATTGACGAGAGACAGCTCAGCACAGATGGCTTCCCCAAGTCTCACCTTCAAGAAGGGAGGTTTACACAGTTCTGGGAACATCAAGTTTTACTTCCCCTACCTCTAGGAAGCTGTCATGTTCAGTCCAAACATCTTCCTGGTGGAAGAAACTTACAATCACTTTATAACTATATATACTTATAACATTTCCATAAAGCAAGTCAGGGAAATCTGCTATCTAGTAGGCAGACTCAGGCAGTGTGAGGTGGCAGAAAGAACTCCAATTTTGGAGGCAGACGTACTGAGTGCTAATATCAGCCATACTGTTTATCAGTCATGTGAAATTATGCAGTTATTTAACTCTTCTGGAAAAAAAAAGAGATTATAAAATAATCAGGGCTATATCTAAAAGTACATATAATAGAATGTTCATAACTACTTTTAAATAGAGATTCATTAAATAAATTATGATACCTCTGTATTAAACAATATCACGCATCCTCTTAAAATTATCATGTAGAAGGGGCTGGCCCCGTGGCCGAGTGGTTAAATTCGCGCGCTCCGCTGCAGGCGGCCCAGTGTTTCGTTAGTTCGAATCCTGGGCGCGGACATGGCACTGCTCATCAGACCACGCTGAGGCAGCGTCCCACATGCCACAACTAGAAGAACCCACAACGAAGAATACACAACTATGTACCGGGGGGCTTTGGGGAGAAAAAGGAAAAAAAATAAAATCTTTAAAAAAAAAAAAAAAAAAAAAAATTATCATGTAGAAGAATAGTGTTGACATGGGAAAATGTTCACAATATGGTGAGAAGTGAGAAAAGCAAGTTGCAAAACAGTATGATGACTGTGATTCCATTTTTATAAAAACAACTCTGTGACTGAAAGGCTTTATACCAAAATTTTAGCAGTAGTTATCTCTGAGGGTAGTTGGGATTATAGCTGGGTTTTTTTCATATGTGCATGAGTTTCTCATATTTTCTGCATTGAATATGTATTACTTTTGTAAGTTTAAAAATTACATAAAAATAAAAAGTAGGATTCAATAGGATTGAGAGAAGTAAATTTTAGACAATGTATGCAAAGTTCCTGATAGACTTTCAATAAATGATAGTTCCCTTCCCCATTCATTTAAACATGATTTTATTTTGTATTTTGAATAAGCAATATTCACATTCAAACTTTTCAAGATATGAAAGTGAAAATTCTCCCTCCTACCTCAGACCTCCAGCCACTCCCTTCCTTTCCTACAGGCAGCCAGTGTTGCTGGATTCTTCCATGTCCTTTAGAGAGAATGTATGCATGTAGAAGCAAAGACATAAAGTTATGCACTCCTCTCACTCCTTGTTTACACAAGTGGTGGTACATTTTACTATGTTTATACCCCTTTGCATTTATACTCCTTTCTTGGGGATCTTTCCGTATCAGTATATACAGATATTAAAACACCTGTAGCTGTACCATCATTGATTTAACTGGTTCCCTGTTGGTGGACATTAAACCCAGCGATATCTTCTGAAGGTGGCCCCAGATACAAGGATGGCCAGCACTTTAGGAATGACCTCTTATCCCTGGTCTCATCACCCTCTTCATTCACTCTGGTCATTTCTTGGCCCCAGCTTCTGAGGCTGAAGGGCTCTGAGAGACCTGTATTGGTTACAGCTCAAACCTGTACTGCTTACAGTCATTTTACCTATTTCTTTTTTTGGCAGTGATGGGGTCTGGCATGCTCTGAAGATATTCTCGCCTAGGATGTGAGAGCTGATAAGCTATGTGCCATTATATGATAATCTGCTCCCCCTCTCTCTGCGCCACTGTTTACTTCTGCACTGTCTCCCACCCTCAGTCTTTCTTCTGGAGAAGCAGTGGCCCTCTCTCCCACCTCAATATTTCCCTCATCCTCTTTACCATCTTGGAGGACCTGGAAATAGGACTGTGTGTTGTCACCTAACCTCACACCTGGGTGACAAATGTAGGGTAGTGACAATGAGGAGCCAGGCCAGGGTGCAGTGGTGACTTGAGGGGGTGGTAGCTGGATCTGCTGGGCCCTGCCGGATGATTAGGAATGTGGACGTACTGGGTGAAGTGAGGAGGGCTTAGCCTATGGTAAATCTGGATGAGAATCTCTTTGGTGGTGGTTTGGGAGGGGTAGTTAGAATCTAAGCCAATAAGGATGGACTAATCCTCTCCTTACGTGAAGCTTATAAAGAGAGAATCCTTTGGGTCATTGGTTAATTTCTTAATTAAACTGATATTGATTGAATACCTATTCCGTGCAAAGCACTCTATCAGATGGTTCTGCAGTCTCTATTTTATCATTTTACACATTGTGGTTTTGCCTCTCTTGCTGGGGTCACTAAGTCATGTGGTCCCTTTCATTGCTGTTGCCACAAATTTTTGTGGTCTTTCAAGGCCTGCAAGTTTTTTCCTGGGGCTCAGGGTGTGAACCAGAGTGCAGGTCCTTGAAAGTCACAGTTTAAATCAGGGCAGTCACAGAGGTAGATGTCTGATTAGGATGGCACATAGAACTTGCTTAATCAATATTGTCTAAACTGAACTGATCAGGGTCAATGAAAGCCCTTCTGTAGAACTGCACAGGGTGCCGTGTGCCCTCACTCACTGGAGATGATGGCCTTGGGAACAATTATCAGCCTAATTTCTTTTTACATCAATGTAGACTTGATGTCCAGTAATGTATATTTTGTACCTCTAATGGCCTTTTAATGATGAAGAGAATCAAAAGCGTTTTAGATCTGAACCTGCACCATTAGTTTCCATTCCAGAAATCCACTGTAATTACCGCAGCTGCTTCTCCAAGCCCTGCAAGAGCATCGGGTTCATGTGAACTTATCTGCACAGTTAATGACCATCTGCACTGAGCCAGGTCTGATGCAGGTTCTGGGGGGTGGTTCCTGAAGGTGGAGAAGGACAGGGTGGGATGGGGGAGGGAGTGACAATGGGAAGACTGAAGGACTGAGTCATTCAGGGCCTGGGGTGTCACCATCTCTCAGAAGAGGAGTTCTCTCAGCCCTGGTCCTCTCCAATCTCCTCACAGAGAGTTCCAGAGTTCCAGAGTGAAATATGACTTGCTGTAAAACTCTGTATTGTGTTCTGCAAGTCATACTGGAAGAAACAAAGGATTCTTGTTAATTCTGCATTCTTGCCCATCCCGTTTGTGAAGGTTTGACGGGGTAGGGGAGGGTGTGGGGCATGTGATGCGGGGTGCCCAGCTGGGGTGAATGGTCTCGTTAGGCAGAATTTGGAGGAGGGAGCACACAGGGAAGGATCGAAGGGAAAGGTACTTCCCAGGGAAGGGAGATGTTGAGATGGATTGCCAAATCCAATTTAATGAGACAAAAGACCCTGGCTCTCTTTTTAAGCTAATTGGATGTCCAAGAAAGGTTAAAAGAAAAGGAGAGAACTCAGATCCTGAGAAAATTGTACTTGTGAGAGCATCATGGGAAGCTGATGGGAATTAAACTTTATGCTGTGTGCCTTTCCTCTGACCTCGATTTTTTATTCCCAGCTCTTTTTTAGGGCCCTTTTCTATCTCCTTGAAAAGCGGTACGGTGGGGTTATTCTTCATAACTGTGGCCATCTGCCTATTGCCTGTGTTAGGAAGGTGACATATTTCCCTTTTCTCCTAAAGGTCAAGCTAATTTACTCCCATGTGAGTGAGTCCAGTGTGCTTGTCGTGAATGACAGCTGGGCCCTGATGGATGTCAAGTGGTTGCAAGAGCTCCAAGGCAGGAACCTTCTTCTAGGTAAGTGGCCAGGGGGCTTGTGCTTTAGGCTGAGAGATTGAGTCCAAGTGCAAGTTCAGAGGTCCATGGTAATAACTACTCCTCCATTCACCCTCCAGTGATCAGTTTACTGCAATCCCATCCTTCCAGTCCTCAGTTCGTTTGTTAACCTCAGAGTCACTTGGGAGCAACTCAGCCTCATCAACCACAGTTCTCTGAGGCTCCAGACCCTGGAGCTGCCCTCAGCTTTTTCTAGCTGGTGACGCGGAGGGTTATCATTCCAGATATCACATACAGAGGGTTTTGCAGCATCTTTTCTTCCATTGCCACCAGAAAATACTGCAGCAGGGGTCAGACTTCTCATTCTTGGTCATTTTTTTTAAATTACACTTCAGAGTTAAGATTTTACTTCCTCTAGTGCCACATTATTTTCTAAACACGAAAGGTGGTTAATGCTGACGCAACATGGTACTACAGCAAATGAGTAATGATGCCCTCGTTCTACAACGAAAAGACTTGCTCCTCAGTTCTTTATTTTTCCGGCCCCTCTCTTTAAGAAAAACACCACAGTCTCAGAATGACACAGCTGGAAGGAACCTGAGAAGTCATTTAGTGAAGCCGCTTGTTTTCTAGATGACGGAATGAGGTTCCGAGGGGTGGAGTGACTTGAACACTCAGAAGATATGGCCTTAGAAACGTGGTTCCCCGTGACCCTGCTGCTCCTCCTCTGTGGCCCTGGGAAGAATCAGATGCTCTACATGTCCCTGCTTTTGGGGTCTGACTCTGTCATGTTGGAAAAACATACACAAAACAGAGAGAATGTGAAAAAGAGTGTAGTATTTCCACTTCCGAGTCTCATGATAAGAAAAACTCCTCCTCTGTCCCCTCACATGCTCCACAAACTCTCCACCCCGAGCTCCTTAGGCTTTCTGGGTATCCATTTCAGCACGTGCTGAATCCTGGCTGGCTATGTTAGGCACATCCGGTATCGCTTCTCTGCCTACCCTGATTGAGCCCCCTGTACAGCTGATCAGAGCAGAGAGAGACACCTGACCCGAGGAGCCCCATTCACACACTGATCATCTGCCAATGACGTGGCCCGGTTCCAAACCCGTGAAACTGTGGTTGGTTGGCAGTAGGTGCTGGAGCTGGAGGACTGCATAGATCCAGGTTCTAGGGTGGCCGTGTTGGGCCTTGTGCAGACACAGTAAGCAGAAAAGGCTAGTTTTAAAAGAAGCAGAAGGATGGCATCAATACAGAGACACATGGGCAGAAGCGACCACATTCCCCAGAGACAGGGAGAGAGCGCCTCAGTGCTTGGTGATTTCTGGTGCTCGGACACTCTGCTTCACTTCATTTCCTTCCCTTGCCTGGCATGAGTTTTCACAATCTCCTGTCCCCTGTGGCTTTCTTTGTATTGGCTTTAGTCCCTTCCAATCACAACAAGTCCCTAATCAGAACACTATCTTGCACTATCTATGCATGTAAGTCTCCTCCCTCAAACCAGGAACAAGCTCTCAAAGGGCAGAGGTTTATGTCTTAGCCTTTTAAAAAAATCTTTCCAAGTAACCGGTTCATATGATAGTTGTTGAATGGTTGGGCTGAAAGGCTTTCTGGAAATCTGGTTCTATAAACCCTTTTAAACATTTGCATCAATTGGCCCCAAGAAAGCCTTCTTGAGTTTTCTAACATAAAGCTACTTAGTTTTAACTGTCATAATTTTAAGAGAAATGAATTCCACTGTATCTTATGGAGTCCTGATTTCCCCAGGCCTCTTCAGCTGGCAGCTTGAGATGGTATTATGGGGATTGTAGTAACACAGAAGTCATCCCCTCATGTAGCACCTCAGCCCCTGAAAGTGCCCCTCTACTATTTTTGTGGGTTCCAGGAGATGTCTCACTCGGACGCATGGAGAAATTTGCTCCTCCAGGGGCCGCTAATGGTCTACCATCTCCCACTGATCTGTCTTCAACCTATCTTGCTATTACTGTCTTATCTCCCCATCCAGTCCTTCTTCCATGCTGCCACCTGAGCTGTGTTCCATGTGCAAATCTTATCACGTGGTTCTCCTGCTTAACACCCATCAGTGGTGTATACTATTAGCTGCCTGTTCCTCAGCCATTCCTGGTGCATTTCTTCCTTGCTGGCAGAGCAGGCCTCCTGTGAAAGATGCTAAAAGTGCCAAATAGTCACCCTCCCAGATTCCCTTGAAGCCAGGGCATTGACATATGACCCAGTTCTGACCAACTGGACTTGTGGGGAAGACTTCTGAGGGTTTCTGGTGTAGGGGAGCAGAATTTGGCACCCTAAAATGAGTCTCTTTGGCTTGATTATTTTTAAGAACAAAAGACTGAGGAAGAAATTTTGACCTTCCTCCCAGCTGCCTAGAAGAATTTAGGATAGAAGGCCTGTACCAGGAAGGAGCTATCACCGTAAATAACTATAGTGTGATATGAACTAGGCGTGGTAGACAGGGAGGAGCCTAGCAGGGCCCGTGTGATCAAAGTCCTCTCTGTGTCCCATTGTCTCTACAAGGTGTGGCAAACATTTGTTGACCAAACTTTTGCATTTCCATCTCCATGTGAATTCCCTTTGGACTCCCAAACCACTACCTTCAATATCCTCTTTTGTCTTTAGCTAAAGATGGTATTTAAGGTGGTTGTGTCAGCCATTTTGGCAAGTTACTCAGTTTTCCTGGGTTTTTCCCATACACTCATGTTATTAAACTTGGTTTGATTTCCTCCTGTTATTCTGTTTCATGTCAATTTAATTCTTAGACCAACCAGAAGAACCTAGAGGGCAGAGGAAATTTCTTCCTCACCTATCCTGGGGAACATGTTCCTCCTTAATATAAAAGACGAGAGTGAGAGAAGGTCCCTTTTTCTTGCTTTGGGATTTTGTGTGTTGAAGCCATGATGCTGGGACCTGGACTCCCATATTGTGATTGTGGAGGGAAGTTGACCCAGAGCCCTACATTGATGAGTTCCTAAAGCTTTCTACTTATTATAAGAGAAAATTAAATGTCCTTATAATTTAAGCCACTTATTGGTCTTCTTTTGTTACTTACAGGCAAAAGCAACCTAAGACGTTGTCCACAGATGCCTACAGGAGAAAATCCAAATTCCTTAACATGGGTACATACCTCCTTCACAAGTTTGCACTGTATCCTGCTTCAGCATCATTTTTTTTGCCAAACCCGACTTGCACTCCCATTCTCCAGCCACACCAAGCTATTTGCCAAATGGGCCCAGTGTTTATAAACCTCAGCCTGGAATGTCCTTCCATGCCCTGGTTAACGCTTACTCATGTTACACGACCCAACTGAAGCTCTTCTTGGCCCTCCACACCTTTTTGTGGAGTGCTGTGTCTCCTGCTTTGTGGCCCTCTGTACCTGTAAATACTTCCATAGTTGTACCAATAACGTCTCTTTTTCTCTGGCTGTTTACATATCTGACAGTCCTTCTGTCTATAAGTTCTTTTGAGGCAAGGCCGGTTTTTTTCCAGCTTTGTATGTCCACTGCAGATGCTCAATTAATGTTTTCTTAAAATTAATAAATTAAAAAGTTGAATGACTGGTTAATTAGTTGTTCCCAATTCTCAACTTTCTCATATTAATGGAAGCTTTTTAGGGCTTTATTTTTGTTTGTTTGTAAGTGTGTGAGTCTGTCGGCCTGTCTTAGACGGGTGCTGCTCAAACTGTAATGTGCCTGGGAATCTTGTGAGCACGCAGATTAGGGCAAGTCTGAGTGGAGCCTGAGATTCTGCATTCCTAACAGGCTCCCAGGTGATGCTGATACTGCCGGTCCAAGGAGCATATTTTGCACAGCAAAGTCAGCAGGCAACAGGGTCTCTAGAGGGCAGAGGTTGCTGTCTGTAAGTAGAGGAAGCCCTAAAAAACAAGTGAAGACTTAGTGAAGATGACAATTAGATGACAAGGAACATACTTTGTATCCATCATTTCCATCCAGGAGCTTTGGTCTCCTATGGAATTCATCTTCGGTGATGGGCTGAGCTTTTCTGGAGCTCTTATTTCTCATTTTCTCCAGCTGGAGTCCAGCTTAGGCCACAAACATTGCTCCCTCCGTACCTTTGTGATAGTTGCCAGGAGCTCAGCTGAGCTGGGAGAGAGAACACTGATCTGACAGGTGTGGGAGTAGCTGATGAAAGCAACAAGCCTAAAATGAAAAAGTTAAGCCATTAATCACTTACTGTGATGGTATAAGCAAGAGTCTAATACTGGAAAAGGTGCCACCTCCCCCTGTTCCAATTCCCCCTTGGAACTGCACGCCAGTCCATGTTCAGGTGGATCAGCGTAGATGTGCGGGTTGTCTAGCTGTTGGAGCTGCTGAATAAGAGACTTCGGTTTTGTGGACCCTGAGGTGGAGGGAGCGTGAGGGGGAAGGGCTAGGAGTGGAAAAGTACTGGGTACTGAGTCAGAGTAGGGAAAGTGTCTTCACAGTTTCCTCCCTACCCCCTCCCCATCAAGGGGCCCAGCAGAGACAGGGACAGGCGCCTGAAGAGGACCTCCGCCCAAGGCCTCAGAAGGAGAGACCTGGGAACGAAGGTGCCTCTGGGCAAGGAGTGTAAATATGCGAAGAGCATGGCCAGCGAGGGGGCTGAGTCCTTGACTGCACTCCCTCCAGAAACCGCCATGCACGGGCTGCCTACGAGCTTGCTGTGGGGAGGGCAGCCTCTCCAGGCTGCCGGGCAAAGCCTCAGTAATTGCCTGTGGTCAGGCCTGAAAAATCACACAGTCACACATGGGTTTTTAACCAGGAGCTGGACTCCTCAGTAGTTTTTCTCACCCAAGTGTTCGCTTGAAATTCATTCATATTCATTCCCTCCCTGTCTCTCTCCGGCCCTCTCCCCCTCTACCCTGCCTTCCTCCCACACCCTCGCCCCCTGCAATCCTACGCATCCTTCTCAGCTATATTAGTTGCTTATTGTTGCATAACCAAGCACTCCAAAACTCAAAACAACAAACGTTTATTATCTCACAGTTTCTGTGAGTCAGGAATCAAGATGCAGCTTAGGTAGATGCCTCTGGTTCAAAGTCTCTCGTAAGGTTGAAAACCGTCAGCCAAGGTTGCAGTCTCATGTTGACTAGGGGGGACCACTCCCAAATTCACTTGTGTGGTCATTGGCAGTGTTCAGTTCCTTGCAGGCTGTTGGCAGGAGGCCTACCTCCGTTCCTCGCCACGTGAACCTTTCCTTAGGGCATCTTATAACATGGCAACTGGCTTCCCTCAGGGTGAGTGAGCTAGCGAGAGTAAACACCCAAGATGGACAGTACGGTTTTTGTAACCTAATGTCGGAAGTGACATCCCCATTACTTTCTGCAGGATTCTGTCTGTTAGAACCAAGTCATTAAGTCCAGCCCACATGGGAGGGCATGACCAAGGGTTTGAATACCGGGAGATGGGACTATTAGGGGCCTTCTTAGAGCCTGCTGACCACAAAGGCCCAGCCAACATTGTGCCCCTTCCCTAACTATTCCTCTAGCATCCGATAGAATCTGTTTTCCTATAACCAAGATTTCGATTTTATTCTATTCTGTACACATGTCTTGTTGCCCCAAGTGTTTGAGGCTTCTCTTCTTGGTGGAACTCGGATTCCCCACAAGCAAAGACCACCGGCTCTTGTCCCCCACTTCTCTTGTGGTCCCCACTGTACCCATCCCAGGACTAGAGGTATAATAAATATTTGTTGATTATGAACAACTCTCAACTTCAGCTTACTTAAACTTTTTCAGTCCAGCTTTCTGGGGCCCTGGGATTTCTGTGGGAGCCTTTATATTCAGAGCCTTTTCCTGCTGAGCAAACAGACCTCATCTGGGTCGATAATCCTTGCAGGGAGGGTGAGGCAGGGTTATTGTTTACACTACAGAGCTGTCTGCTAATGCCTTTAACGTGGAATTTAGCTGTTGAGAGAACTGGGAATGATTTGGAGCCCTTTAGAACCGAGGAAAGACGAAAAGCAAGAGAACTAGCACTTTATGTTGAGTATCTCGTTTAATCCTCCCAATAAGCATCATGTGCAGCTTATCAGCCCTGACTTTGCAAACATGGAGTCTGAGGCCCCACAATTAGCAAAGAGCAGAGCCAGAACCTGAACCCAGGCCCCAGAGCCTCTTCCTCTCCCCTGCCTTGTGCTTCTAGGAATGGTTTGCAGTGATTTACTCTCAGATCAGGGTCCTTCCTGCTGGGGCTATTGGCAGTACCCAACCCCACTCTCTGTGGTTTCTGTGGCCCGTTTACGTGTCCTGAGACACCCAGTAAACACCTGATGAATGAACTCTTCCTCCTCTGGAGTGGGGAGTGGCCAGGAGGCTTCCACACTCACACCCAAAGGCCAGGCAGAACACTAAACCCACCCAGCTAGTGTACCTGACACACAGAGTGTGGCGAAGATGAGTGAGGCAGGCAGAGGCTGGGTTGGGTGAAGTGTGGCAAGGAAATCTTGTCAGAAGCTCTGACACCCCAGGAAGAGAAGGTCACTTGAGATGTATATGGATACAAATGTAGGACTTGCCACACAGATTTGTTTACCATCTTCTGAGAGGCCCCACAGTGGCCTCAGCCCCTCTGAGTGGGACTCTTGGTGGAGGATAGTGTTGCAGGGCCACTGAGCAGACCCAGAAAGGTGTCCAGAAGGAGTCAATATAGGAGTCAATATTGCAGGCCCGAGACCTCCATCTTTGCAAGGCCTGCTCACAAGGTCGGCCTCTGGGGTCTCGGCTTTCAGAAGGGCTCCACCACCCTAACTGACAGAATGGCTCACTGGGCCTAAACTGTGCAGACACTGTGGTTTATGCTTCACATCTGCTTTCCTTCTGGGAGTCGGGAATTTTCGGGTGTGCTAGGCAGAGGGTGCCTGCAGGACCAGCCCCAGAACAGAGCCTGGGCGCTGAGTCTCTGACGAGCTTCCCTGTAGCATCACGTCGTACGTGTTGTCACAGTTAGTTGCTGGGGAGTTGAGTGTGTCCTTATGACTCCACAGAGACAGGACTCTGGGAAGCTCGTGTCCGGTTGTCCTTTGCTGATTTTGCTCTATATCCTTTTGCTGTAATGAAGCTTAGCCATGAGTATGACTAAATACTGAGTCATGAGTCCTCCTGGCAAAACATGAAAACTGGGGTTGTCTTGGGACCCCTGACACACCAGGGAAGGAGGAGTGGAGGGTAGGGGTGGGGTAAGAGTTGTCCCCACCTAGATTTCCACAAACCCTCTTAACTTCATGCCCGCCCAAACTTCTCCCTCCTGAACTTCCACTTACTCTCTTATGGTCTCTAATTTTCTCCTTTCCCTCATTGAATAGTCTCATTATTCAAAATAAATGCTTGAGGGTGTCCCCCTGTGATTCAGCCTAGTCTGAGCGCTGATATGAGAGAATGAGATCAGGGCTTAGTAATATGAAAAAATCTTGAATCCATTAATTAATAAGTAAAATGATAATAAAATACCCATAGGTGCTCCACTTAAAATTCTTCTCCTCTTTAAAATAACTGAAATGATGTCCTTCTTCTCTGAGAAAGCAAGTGGGTGTCACCTGAAGGGTGTCATAGAGCAGAAAGAGTGTCATTTGGCATGGAGACAGAAGACAGTCTCAGCAACCTCCTGCCGCGTCCCCAGGCAGAGAGCTCTTGAGGTTGTTGGGAATATGACAGATGTGAGATTTCTTCCCAAAACCTGGGAGGGGACAAAGATGGGAGCAGGCCAGATCTGGTGGGTGGTGGAAGCCTTTTTCAGAACTTTGAATTTCAATCAAGGGGAAGGGATACTGCGAGTCACTGGATGGGTTTTAACAGAGGATTGAGAGCTCAAATATCTTTTCTAGTTCCAAGGCTATACATGTATGAATACCCGTGTCTCAGACCATTCCTGAAGAAGTATAGGCCATTTTGGAGAAGTTGATGCTGTCATTTTATGTTCTTGGAACTAAGAGCCATTGAGTCATCCTCAGGGATCCTGCCTGGCTTGGCGCTCTCTTTTCCTCCCCTTCCTCCTTGTGTTTTCTTTAAGAAATAGAGGCCTACAAAACTTGGAAGCAACCCAAGTGCCCATCAATGGATGAATGGATAAAGAAGATGTGATTCACACACACACAATGGAATACTATTCAGCCATAAAAAAAGACAAAATTGTGCCATTTGCAACAACATGAATAACTTGAGGGTATGATGCTAGGCGAAATAAGTCAGACAGAGAAAGACAAATACTGTATGATTTCACTCATATGTGGAAGATAAACAAACAAACACATAGATAAGGAGAACAGATTGGTGGTTACCAGAGAGGAAGGGGGTAGAGGCAGGGCAAAAGGGGTAAAGGGGCACATGAGTATGATAACAGCTAAAAACTAGACTATTGCTCGTGAGCACGATGCAGTCTATATGGAAGCTAAAATATAATAATGTACACCTGAAATTTACACAATGTTATAAACCAATGTGACCTCAATAAAATAAAAAAGGAAAAAGAAATAGATGCCTGGTCTGTGATGAAAATTCAGAGTCCTCATTTTCTTCTCTACAGTGTTGTCATTCAAATTAATTCAGTTAATGAATGGGCCTATGATTTGCATTTAGAAGAAAATCGCCATTTGAGTTTTTAACTAGAACAGTTGGGTGATAAATCAACCCTCAAACAGATTCCCCATTTCCCAGTGGGGCGGGAAGCCACACCCAGCCATGCATCTAGGGTGCACCCCACTGACTGTGGGCGCCTTCCCTGCTCAGACATTGACCTTCTTCTGGGATTAAGTCACATCTGCCCTCTTAGCAAAGGTCTAGAACTGGTTGATTAATGAAGCCATTGTCAAACACTCATGCCATTAAAGCAATTCCAAAATGGTGAAATAAAGATCTTTCAAGAGTTTAAAGCTAAACCCAACATTTGTGATAGAATCTTCTTCTGATACAAAATGACTTTCCCAGATGAATTTCATTTCTTAAATATTTTCTTGGGTGCCTACTATGTGCCAGGCACCATTTGAAGCACTTTACTTGTGTTGTTTAATTTCCAGAGCAACCCTTTCTTTAGTAGGGACAATTATTATTCCCATGTGATGGTTAATTTTATGTGTCAACTTCACTGGGCCATGGGGTGCCCAGATATTTGGCTAAAAATTATTTCTGATATGACCGTGAGGGTGTTTCTGGATGATATTAACATTTGAATTGGTGGACTGAGTAAAGCAGATCACTTCCCCAATGTGGGTGGGCTTCAACCAGTCCCTCCAAGGCCTGAATACAATAAAGGCTAAGTGAGAAAGCATCCTCTCTATCTGCCCGATTGGGCACATCGAGCTGAGACATCGGTCTTCTCCTGCCTTCGGATTCGGACTCGGACCGGAGCTTGGGCTGGTATCTACACCATCGGCTCTCCTGAGTCTCCAGCTTGCCAACTGCCGATCTTGGGAGTTCTAAGCTCCATAATCACGTGAGCCAATTCCTTTTTGTAAGTCAATTGACAATAATATTGCTCTGCCTTTGAAAAATATATCTCTCTCTGAAAAAAATATATGTCTTATCGGTGCTGTTTCTCTGGAGAACTCAGACTAACACCCCCCGTTTCACAGACATGGAATCTAACGCACAGAGCCAAGTTTAACCTTGCTGTGGGAAGAGGATCCAAACTGATTTCAGAGTTCACAATGTCTGGTCCACTCAACAAATGTTAAAGAAGTGCAAATAACAGTGAGGATTTTGTTCTTTTGCCTCTCAAATTAGCAAATATGAAAGACAGTGGAAAAACACTGTATTGGTGAGACATGGGAAGATGGGTACACCTGTGCAGTGTTGGTGGGAATACCAGTTAGTACAACCTTTCCAAAGGGCGGCTTGAGCATATCAGCATGCAATGTAGACCTTGGCAAAGCTGGCTCCCCAAATATCACCAATGCACCCTGTTCCTAAGACAAAGCTGAGCGTATTGCGTACCGCCATGAAGGAGACCACTGCCGCGAAAGTCTTTGGCAACGCCTCAGAAAAGGGAAGATAAATTCAGAATTTATTGAGAATGGAAGTTTGGTTTAAGGCGGGTCTTTCAGTGGAGATGAGGAGGGGTCTGATACTTGATTAGGATTGGGTAAGAACCGCTCTGCAATAATCCAGGGTTGGTGGGGACAGCAAGGTGAAGGTTTTGAGGAGAGAGAATCAAAGAACCTTGGGGAACTCTGTCTACTGATGTTTCTCATTGACGAGCTGATGGGTCTTTGGGAAGTTACT